GATTGGGGGGATTGGGGGGGATTGGGGAGCCTGTATTGGGGTGAATGGGGAGAATGAGGGGCCCTGTATTATAAAGAGCTTTTGAGGGGGAGTGGGGAGCCCTGCACTGGATTAAACTGGGGGAGAGAGAACACCCAGTTTTGGGGAGAATGGGGGGGACTTGTCCTGGAGGTTTTTTGGGGGGCACTGAGGAACCCTGTATTGGGGTGTGTGGGGGCAGTGGGGCGTTCCCGGCCCCCCCAGTATGAATATATGTGGATATGGTTTTGTTTGGAATCTGCAGGGAATGAGAAAAGCCAAGGGCTGTTGGAAAGCACCCAGGAGAGGGGGGAAGGTGAATGCTCAGCTCAGGGCTGGCGTTGGAGTTCTGGGGGCCCAGGGGTGGGTTCTGCAGGGAATGAGGAGCTGGGAAAGGGTTTTGTGGCTGGAGCTGTGGGAAACACAATAGGAGAAGGCCCCCTGGGTGCCTGGGATGTGGCTGGAGCCAGGGGAGCTCCCAGATCCCGCTAGAGACAGCAGGAAAATCCCAGAGGATCCAACAGGTTGCTGAGTGCTGTTTGTCTGCCCCACAGAGGGCTGAGCGCTTCCCTTCCACCTCTTCCTCCCAAAGCTGGGATGCTCCAGCTCATCCCCCAAAGGGAAAGATTGGAATTCCCTGGCTTTTTTTAGGGTGGGCTCCACCTTGTGCTCAGGGGTGCTGGGAGGGGAGCAGGGATCTCCAGGGGGATCTGTTCCAGGAGGAGATGGCGTTGGCACTCTCCGTGCCGTGCTCCCTGCTCCATCCCTCTGTCCATCCCTCATGGGAGCTGGGGATAGTGCAGGGATCCCTGGCAGCTTTGGAAGGGATGGGGTTTTTTTTGGGGGTGTTTCATTCACAGAGCAGTGCCAACAACAAACCTTGTGTGTCCCTCTCCTGGCAATTCCCTTCTTCCAGAACAGGGAATGCTCCCAGGGAGGCTGCTGCCTGCAAGAGGAAAGAGTTCTGGTGGAAAAAGTGCAGATTTGGTGGTGCTGGTTCAGGCCAGTGGTGGTGGTGGGCTGGTGTTGGTGGACCAGGACTGGAAAACTCAGTCTGGAGCTGGGATAGACCAGGATCAGCCCCAGATGGGCCCAGAGAGAGAGGAGCGGCTCTGTTGGGATCACTGCTTATCCCAAGAGGGGACAAGGGAGCAGAGGAGCTTCCCACAAACCCACCCTGTCCCGGTTTGCTCCTGGGCTGTGTCCCACCTATAAAAACCTCCCTCTGGATTTGTTTTCCTTAATCCCCCCCCTTCCAGAATGCCCCTCTTCCAGTGGCAAGCCCAACCACGCAGACATCCTGCTCGTAAACTTACAGTACGTGTCAGAAGTGGAAATAATCAATGACCGCACGGAAACGCCTCCCCCTTTAGCCTCCCTCAACGTCAGCAAGGTGAGAGAGCCCCTCCCGCAGGGATCCCCGGGAATCCTGCAGGGATCCAGCGGGATTCGCCTCTGGAGCTCGCCTGCTCCCAGCACAGCTTCCCCCAGCTCCATTCTGGCTCTGGGCTTTGGCCATTTGGCTCTGGGTTTTGTTTGGTTTAGGGTCTGGATATTGGCATTTAGGGCCTGGATTTTGGGTGGTTTTGGGGCATGGGTTTTATGTCTAGATTTTTGCATTTGGGGACCTGGATTTTGGGGCATTTTTGGGATCTAAGGTGATCTTGTTTTGGGGCTTGGGTTTGGAGCCTGGGTTTTGGTAGTTTGGGGTAGGTGGTGGTGTTTGGGGTCTGGATGATGCTGGTTTGGGTCTAGACTGGCGTTTTGGAGAGGACAGGAGGGGCGAAGATGTGGAGCTCATGGAATTCTGAGGAACTGCTTTTCATCCATCCTGGGAAGAAAGGGAAGGTGACCCCGAGCCCTCGGTGCTGGGCTGAATCCAGCTGTGGGGGGCTCACTTGTCACCTCCGTGTCCCACAGGGACACCTCTCCCGAGGCTCTGTGTCACAGCAGGTGGCACCAGCTGGGTGTCCATCCCCTCCCCGGGTCCCTTCCCGATGGATTAACACCTCCGAGGTCCGGGATGACACAGCTGCCACCACGATGTGACTGTTGGCTGTCACTGCAGCGAGTGACACGGCTGGGAGCGCAGCCCGAGGGAACCCCCTCAGGAATTCCGGTGCTCTCTGGTCTTCTCCAGCATCCCAGTGATTGTGGATTTGGTGTGTGGGGAAATTACAGGTGGAGTTGAGCTGGAAGGGCCACTCCAGTGGCAGGAGGGGAGTTCTGTGGGGCCCTGCCCCACATCCCCTTCCCCATGGATGTTCAGGGACTGGGATGTTGGTGGCTGGTACTGGTTGTACTGGGAGGAGGAGGAGGAGGAGGAGGGCTGGGCACGTGGGAGTGCTGGTGGTGCTGCAGGGAACCCGGAGAGTTGGGGACTTTTGGGAACACCCCCTGTGCCACCAGAGGAGCTCGGCACAGCCATCCTCTGCCACTGCAGGAGATTCTGGAGGGATCCCCTCCATCGCCACCCAGGTGGCATGAGGGCAACCCTGGCACTGGGGGAGCCTGGCGTGGTTCTTGGCGGCCCTGGCACGAACCTTGGTGGCCCTGGCGGTCCCTCCCTGCGTGCTGCCGATTCCGTCATTGATCCTGAGGGAGCGGGGAGGTGACTCATCCATTCATGCCGCCTGCACAAGGTGTGTGCAGGGGAGCCCTGGAGCTCCGTGCAGCGCTCACATCCAGGAGCCTGATCCGCTTCCTCTTGGCAGGCGTGGACGGGCAGGGGGAGCACGTGGTGCTGCAGGGGAGTGATGGGTGATGGCTGGATCCCTGTGGAAATGCTGGGGTGCTGCTGGCACCTCTCCGGGGTGTCCGGTCACCTCCCGGTGGCCTCTCCCCAGGGCTGTCCCCAAGTCTGGGTGCAGCAGCTGCTGTTGGAGCATCCCAAGGCTCGGGGAAGCCAGAGGCTTGGGACGGAGGGGATCTAAACCTCAGGCTGGGGAAGGGGGATCTGCTCAGGGAGGACACGGCACAGGGGATCCCCAATGCTCGGTCCCACAGTTCCAGCCCATCCCAGTGTGGATGGTCAGGATCCCAGTTCTCCAGCCTCGGGATGGCTGCCCTACCTGGATGAGGGGCAGGGAAGGGTGTGGGGTGCAGGGAAGTTCCTGTGGAACGTTGTGCCTGGTTTGGAAGCCTGCCTGGTGGTCTTGGACAGAGCAGTTCTGCCATGGCATGGGGTGGGTGGCTTGTGAAGGTGAGGAAGGCTCCTGTCCCTGTTGGGATGAGGACGGGGAGCACACGGGGAGCGTCCCCGTGCCCCTGTAGTGACTGCTCCCAGGGCACCGAGAGGGGACACGGCTGGGAGAGGCACTGAAGTGTCCCCAGCCAGAGGGAGCTCGGCCTTTCCCTACCCCGAGGGGCTTCGGGAGGGGTGAAACCCCCTCAGCCAGCGCCAGGAAGCCAGTCCAGCTCTGGGTGTGCTCCCAGGAATGAGGAGGCTCCAGGAGGAGGAAGAGGAGGGATGATGCTGATGTGGCTCCTCCACTGCGGCATCTCCAGCCAGGAAAAGGCAGCTGGTCCAGGGCTGCTGCCTCCAGGCGCTGCATCCTTCTCCTCCCACATCCATGGGATTCAACATGGGGGATGCCAGGGTCGGGGTTTTCCATCTCTATTCCAGCACCCTGTGTGTAATCACACCTCCCCACACACGGATGCCACTCCCAGATAACCAATTCTGGTTATTTTTTGGGAGCAAATCAATTGCTGCAGGCTAAAGTTGCTCGTACTCCTGCATGGAGCGTTTACTCCCAGCCTGTCGGGTATTTCAGGCTCCTCTTCCCCATCTCCCTCCCAAGTAAGGGGAGCAGTGAGGGTGGTTTGCACCTAAAATGCCACAACTGATTCAGAAGAGGCCACGGGGAAGGGACAGGGGGACGTGGAAAGGTGGCACCACCATCCCCCAAATCTCTGGCAGTGGTGAGGGTGCCTCAGCAGGGGAATTTCAGCTGGAATCACAAGGGGCAGAGCTGTGTCGGGGGGTCCCTGTGCCCCCTCATTGCTCCCAGCCCAATTCCCTGTTCCTGTGTTTTCCCAGCTTGCCAACAAAGCGCGGACGGAGAAGGAGGAGAAGATGAGCCAGGCATATGCAATTAGTGCTGGTGTCTCTCTGGAGGGGCAGCAGCTCTTCCAGACCATCCATAAGACGTAAGTGCCCACCTTGGGGTCCCCAGTGCCCGCCTCGGAGTCCCCAGTGCCCCCCTCGGGGTCCCCAGTGCCCGCCTCGGGGTCCCCAGTGCCCACCTCGGGGTCCCCAGGCTGCTTTTTGGGGGATTCCCTTTGCTGGGTCGCTCTGGGAGGCTCTGACGTGTCCTGGGATGTGCTGGGTGGGATCTCAGGGAGGGAGGGTGGCTCCCTGCCCGCTCCCTGCCCCTTGCTGGCACATCCCACCCC